GTATAAACTTCCAACTATAAGGTGAAGAAGTTCTGGGGATCTAATATACAGCATGATGACTATAATTAACAATACTGTATTATATACTTGCAAGTTGCTAAGAGAGTAAATCTTAAATGTTCTCACCACAAAAAAGAAATGGTAATTATGAGTTGTGATGGAGATGTTAACTAATGCTACAGTGGTAATCCTTTTTCAATATATAAGTTTATCAACTCAGCCCATTGTACATCTTAAACTTACACAATGTTATATGTTAACTTTATCTCCATAAAAGTGGGAAAAAATTTCTGCAATGATAGAAATGTTCTTAATCTGTTTCAAAACAATAAAGTAGCCACTGAATACATGTGGCTATTGAGCACTTAAAATATAGCTACTGTGACTGAGGGAATCCTTTCAAACTTTAATTTTAATTAACTGAAATGGAAACTGCTACATGTGCCAGTGGCTGCCATATTGGATAGAAATCGTTCAGTTATGTCCTCAGACTATATAGGATTAAACTAGGAACCAATAACATAAAGATAGCTGGGAAATCCCAAACTATTTGGATATTAACAGAATTCCTAATAATACATGGGTCAAAGAAGTATCAAGATAAATTTTAAAATATTGTGAACAAAATAAAACTACAATTTATCAAATTGTGGAATGCAGTGAAAGGAGCACTTAGAAGTAAATATATAGCATTAAATTCATGTTTGAAAAGAAGAAAGATCTAAAACCTAATCTACTTTAGCAAACCAGGTAAAGTAAGCCTAAAATAAACAAAAAATTAATAATAAAAATTATAATGGAAAACAAATCAATGGAGAAAAATTTTAAAAAACCAAAGCTACTTTCTTAAAACAAACAAAATCCATACATTGATTCTTGCTAACCAAGGAAAAAAATAGGCAAATGACTGATATACGTGAAAAAAAAGGAGTCATGACTATCACTACAGAGCCCCTGAAAGGAATGTCATAAACAACTTTATGGACACAAATTTGATAACTTAGATGAAATGGACCAGTACTTTATATCAACCCTTACACTGGGAGAACTGGATAACCTGAATATCTATTAAAGAAATTGAATCAATAGTTTATAAACTTCCAAAAATAAAGCACAGACATATAATTTCACTGTGAATTCTACTAAATGTCTAAGGAAAAAATAACACCAAGTCTTCACAATCTTTTACAGAAAATAAAAGCAGAGGGAAGACTTCCTATCCCATTCTATAAGTCTGGAATTATCCCAATATCAATCCAGATAAACTGATATAAAGAAGTGATAGAATAAACAAATGAGAGAAAAGAGACAAATCCACCGTGTGGAAGAATTGCAAAGTATTTATGTAGCGATTGTATCCTCAGGGATGTGGTGCATACTCCCCACTCCTTAAGTGCTGGCTGTTCACAGTGATTTCATTCCAAAAAGAACAATATGGAAAGGGATGGGGGTGGGGAACAAAGAGCTTTACAGTAGAGAAATCTGACAAAGGTTACCTCGGCCAAGTGTTCAGGATGAACATCAATCCTATTGACAGTATATGCCTTTGATGTGATATGAGGGTGGAACGTGCTCTCTGTGGTCTCCCTCCTTAAAACCTGTAACTGTAATCACTAGTAACATATCAGACAAGCCCAATTAAGGCACATTCTGCAAAATACCTAGCCAGTACTCCTCAAAAGTGTTAAGGCCATAAGCAACGTGGAAAGTCTGAGAACCTGTCACAGCCAAAAGAAGCCTAAGGGGATATATTAGTTAAATGTGATAGGGTACCCTGGATGGGGTCCTGGAATAGAAAGAGGGCATTAGGGCATTGCCCATCGGTCAAAGGACAGACATCTGAATTAGGTCAAACCAGGACATCTGAATAAAGCAGGGACTTTATTAATTGTATAAATGTTGGCTCATTAATTGTGACAAAGGTGTCATGACTACTATAAGATATTTGCAACAGGGGAAACTAGGTTTGAGGTATATAGGAACTCTCTGTACTATCTTTTAAGTTCTCTGTAAATCTAATACTATTCTAAAACAAAAAGGCCATTAAAATAAATTAATGGGGATATGTTGAAAATTGGATTGCCTGACTATCTCCATTTTTATTCAAAATTATGTTGGAAGTCCTAGCCAGTGAAACAAAATAGGAAAAAAGAATTAAAAAAAAAAAGGAATAAAATGTATAGGGATTGGAAAGTAAGGAAAAAAAACCCCTATGTTTCTATACATAAAAATGCAACTCTATAAATTAACTTCTAGAATTATCATAGTCATTGAAACTAAACTAATTCTACACAAATCATTTTATTTTTATTCTTATATACCAACTACAAACAATTCAAGATCTTTTCATATTATTGAAAGATATTACGATCTACATAAATGATAGATATAGCACATCAATATTTTTGGAGACTCAGTGCTTTCAATTCTCCTCAGATTAATCTATGAATTCAATGCAGTTCCAATAGAAATCCCAGCAGGTACATTTTTGAAAATTGATATGTCCATACTAAGATATACATGGAAATGCAAAGGAACAAAAATGGCTATAACAAACTTGAAAAAGAATTACACGAGAGGATTTGATTTGCCTGAAAAAAAGATTTATAGAAAGCTACTGTAGTTAAAGCAGGTAAGAATTGGTATAGTACAGACTCACAGACCAATGGAAAGAAAAAGAGTGAAAACAGACCATTCTCATATGAGCACCTGAATTAAGACCAAGGAGGTAAATACTTCGGGGTCAGTTGGTTATTCATGTGGGACACATATGACACTTGATACCTACTTTCAATATTTTCTTTAGGATAGGCCTGCTGATTAGTGTAGCTTTTATTCTTCGTTCAATGATCATTCACTACATGGCATTTTCCCATTTAATTTTCTTCATAAAATCTATATCCATCTGAAATTATCCCATTTACTTGATTGCTTTTTAATATTCTGCCTTGCTTCCACTACAATATAAAGTCCTTGAGAGCAAGAATCTTGTCTATACCGCTCATCATTGTCCTTGGAGCATCGAGAACATTTCTTGGCACAATCATAAGCTTTCTAATGAATAAATGAATGTGTAAATCTGCCAGGGAAATTCGAGGTGAAAAGGGCAGGTGATCCCTTGATCTAGCACTTGAACGTTGAGGAGAGGTGTACACGGGAGAGCCTTGGGTGAGGTAATGGTCTGGGACGTATTCCAGGTAGAGAGCTTAGCAGGGGATGAAAGGTGTGATGAATGTGTGAGAGCATCACAAGGGGATTTTCTAAGTAGGCCATTCCTATATGTAGCAAATGGAAATGTTAGAGTCACTTATTCAGTCACAAATCTCAGATTGTATGATTTTCTCTTCATTTTATATATGGATAAACACTTGCTTCCTGACTGAAATATCAGCCCATGACACTGAAGATTTGTGCTTTCGCCCGACCCAACTCCCAGCCTTTTCCAATTGGCGCTGCACAAGCAGATGTTACTCGGCGCTTACTTATACTACTTGGTATTATTATTATTTTTTAAGATTTTATTTGACGCAGAGAGACACAGCAAGAGAGGGAACACAGGCAGGGAGAGTGGGAGAGGGAGAAGCAGGCTTCCTGCTGAGCAGGGAGCCCGATGCGGGGCCCGATCCCAGGACCCTGAGATCACGCCCTGAGCCGAAGGCAGACGCTTAACGACTGAGCCACCCAGGCGCCCCACTACTTGGTATTATTTAAATCAGTGGTTCTGTATGTCAAGTGTGGGTCATGCTCACGCAGTTTTTTGCTTGCTTGTTTGTTTGTTTGTTTTTAAATATATCTTCCTGGGCTTTCCTTCTGGAAGATTAAAACAGAATGTCTGGGTAAGTTAGACAGCCAGCTCCCCAGATGTCTTAGTTTGTGCTAATGTAACAAATTACTATAATAATTACCATAACAAATTACCCTAGACTGAGTGGCTTAAACAACAAACATTTATTTCTCACAGTTCTGGAATCTGAGAAGTCCAAGTTTTAAATTTTAAAACGCCTCCACCTCTGAAAAACATTTTTCAAAGACTCAGATTATAGCAGAGTGAACAGCCTCTTTATTTAAGGATGCTACCGTATATCAGCTCCAGGTGTTTCTAATTATGGGGGAGGTTATCCCTCGATTTAAAAAAAAAAACGCAGGGGCGCCTGGGTGGCTCAGTTGGTTAAGCGACTGCCTTAGGCTCAGGTCATGATCCTGGAGTCCCAGGATCGAGTCCCACATCGGGCTCCCTGCTCGGCAGGGAGTCTGCTTCTCCCTCTGACCCTCTTCCCTCTCGTGCTGTCTCTCATTCTCTCTCTCTCAAATAAATAAATAAAATCTTAAAAAAATAAAATAAATAAAAATAAATAAAAACGCAGCAAGCAAGGCAAGGCTTCCTATCTTTGTTCTTTAAAATAAAACAGCTCAAAACTACCTATTACTTTTCAACCAATTCCTAGGATTTATCTCAGAGTCTCCACTAGCTGAAGACTTCAATAAGATTGTTTTAGAGATCTTAACGTCTTTTTCCTCAGGCCCAGTCCCTCACTTAAATACTAAAGCGTTTTATCAGTCCTTTGTCAAGTTCAGAGTCAATCTGCCATTCCCTTTCTCTTCAAAAGTGGACCGCTAGAAAGAAATCAGAGGCAGAAGTCTGCAGGTGTTAAACCCTCTCTGGGCAGAGGCAGGAGGGAGGTTTAGCCCCAGGTCAGCGCCGCGCCCCTGACCACCAACCCCGCCCTGCCGCGCTCGGCCCCGGCGTTCGCGAGCTGGCTCGGGGCCTCCGCACTTTATCAGGCCCACCTGGCGCGGCCCGGGCGGCTCCCCCGGCCAGCAGGGGGCGGCCGGGCTCCGCGCGCCCCGGCCAGGAGGGGACGCCGCCGGCGGAGGAAGTGCCGAACTCCGGCCAACCCGCCCGGAGCACTGGCGGCGGCGGGAAGCGGCCTCCTCGTCGGGTCCTCCCCCGCAGGCCAGCCCCCCCGGCCCTCTTTCCGTTCCGCGCGGCTGCCGCGGCGGCTGGTTCCGGGTCCTGTGACCCGTCAGGCGGTGGCGCGGGCGCACGGCGGCCGGCCTCGGGGACGTTGCCGACGGCCGGCGGGGGCTCCGCAGGCGCGCGGGGACAGCGCGACAGGGCGGGGGCCCCGGCGCGGAGCCCGAGCTCGCGGGAAGAGGGGGACGGCCGGCTCGAGCGGGGCCGGGGGGGGGGGCTCATGGCGGGCGGGGGACCCGGGGACCCGGGCCAGGGGGCGGCGGGGGCCGCTGCGCCCGAGACCCGCGAGCACCTCTTCAAGGTGCTGGTCATCGGTGAGCTCGGCGTGGGCAAGACCAGCATCATCAAGCGCTACGTCCACCAGCTCTTCTCCCAGCACTACAGGGCCACCATCGGGGTGGACTTCGCCCTCAAGGTCCTCAACTGGGACAACCGGACGCTGGTGCGCCTGCAGCTCTGGGACATCGCGGGTAAGCGGCGGGCGGTGGGCACCGCTCAGTCTCCTGTCCTCTTTCTGTCCTCATGACCTGAGCCGAAGGCACACACTTAACCGACTGAGCCACCCGGGCGTCCCCAGGTTCCTTTTTAGAATGTTTGTCATCACGTACTTTGGATCTGAGACCCTTTTTTGTGAGTGAAGCTCCATTTTTCAGATAGGGTGCTCTTCTCCTAGGCCAGGCCCCTCCATGCCCCTCCTCCGAAGGTGAAGATTTGCGAAGGTTGCTCTTGAATCCTTCCTCCTTCCCTAAACCAACACCTGGCCCCACTCCTGGACCCCTCTCCACCCTACACCCCTATATATTGTTTCCCTGTCATTTGCTTTCAGTTGCCATTTAGGAGCATAATACCCCTCTTTGAGAGGGTACTTATCTCCTTTAGTTTTTGAAAACTTGAACTCTGGTGGGGTGGGTGGCGGGGTGGGCATTTAAAAAGATGTTAACTTTGGAAAGCTTAAATATGGAAGTGATACCAAAAGTTACCCTGTTCAGTCATTGCTGGAAAGAAGCTCAGTCTGCGATAGAGAATTTTTATGGGAGAAAGTTCAGAGCTGGAGAGACCATCCAACAGATGCATCAACCTTGGACAATTTGGTCACCTAGCTGGTGGGGGGGGATGACGACATAGGTCTGTCTGCTAGGTAAGTGCTCTTTTCATCAACAGCTTATTCCATGAGAAAGTATTGAAGAATTATAACCTATATACTCACTTATTTAAGAACAGACTTCTCTGCCTCAGATATGAGGATAAATTTATGTATGTCAGTTCCTCAGAGAAAGGGGGATGATCAGCCCTGGGCTCAGCTTTTTTTTTTTTCTTTTGGTTACAGAAAACCAAAGTTCGTTTGAAGAGTTATCTTTTGAAGCCAGACGCTTCTTTCGAAATACTTCCTGCAGTTTCACAGAAACTTGTGTTCACTTGTGAATACTAGTATTGCTTCTTGACAAGGTCATAAATTCTGAAGGTTGCCTTACCATGTGATAGTCATTCTCCAGGAATCTTCAGTGTAGCTGTAGATGTCCATGAAGATGATTTTAAACCCCCACCTAGGAGGGTTGTTGACTTTGCCTTATTCTTCTTGTAAAATAATATATTTAGCTATTAAATTATGATTGGGCCTCACTGCAGGTAAATAAAAGATTTTATTGGCACATTTGTGTTTTTAAGCTTCACGCAAAAGTACTTATATTTGGAGACTTGGGAAAGCAAAATCATGAGTAATTTTCTCCCTGGGTATCACTTCTTCCCTTTTTTTGGACACCTTGAACAGACCTATGCAGCCAGGAAGGGGACATAGTCTTGTCAGACTCTGGTACATATTGGCCTAGATGGAATGTGCTTGCACTTTTGCCTAAATCCAAAGATTGAGCTTTGCCAGGAAGGAAAGCAAGATTTTAAGATCTCTAACAGGGATTCCTGGTTGCAAGACCATTCAGCAAGTACACACCAGGTGTTAATAAGATTTGAGGTAAACTATGAGGTAATTAGAAATTACTAGGCTCACCTTATAAATAAGATTTTCAGAGATGGGATCTTAATATATAAGGAAGCTGCCACAAAAATAATTTGGCTTTCACTTGAGGTTTAGAGAGTACGTTTGCTTTGAATATTTGACCTGTTATTGAATCCTAGCTCATACCATTTGAATTAAGTCATAATGATGTAATGAAGGCAAATTGAAGGCCACTCCAGAAAGTTCCCCGGGGCTAAACATATTTGCCTTATGTAGTAACCCATTAAATCATACTGAATCCTCAAAGGATAGAAATATTCCTTTACTGCAAAACAGTCGGTAGAACTGGTCAGTTGATATGACTAACTTAAGGTGTGGTACTATTACTAGTTTCTTTGTCGTGACTTTAGAGATGAGAAAATTGGTAAAGGAATTACATTGAGTCTCTATATTTGGAAACTTTGGCAAGTAGAACAGGTGGGAGTTGTCCAGACATTTCCCATAAATGTGGCTGAGCAGTTTCAGCTGAACTCTTCAGATCAGGAACCATAGTGACTCTTGGGTACAGGCCTTCGGAATGCTTTTTTATTGCGTGAAATGAATGTAGCTTTAAAATCCAGATGTAATTCAGTACAGTTTTTGTGTTAGGCAACTGTCCCTTACTTTACACCTGTTTTGAGATTGCTCTTTTTTTTTTTTTTGAGATTTTATTGATTTATTTGACAGAGAGATAGAACACAAGCAGGCAGAGGGAGAGGGAGAAGCAGGCTCTCTGCCGAGCAGGGAGCCGGACATGGGGCTTGATCCCAGGACCCTGGGATCATGACCTGAGCTGAAGGCAGCTGCTTAATTAACCAACTGAGCCACCCAGGCGCCCCTTGAGATTGCTCTTAACACCTTAACTGAAATATACTAAGTTACTGAAGTCGTCAATAAAATTTTAAGAAGTTTAATAAGTACTACTAAATTAAGATGTAGCAAGAGATGTCTCTAAGCTTCCTTTTGTTGTTGTTACATAAATTAACCCATTTATCATAGGCCAGCAATGTCTTAAACGGTGGAGCTTCTACTGGTCTCCCAATTCCTGCGGTCGTTTGGTGGTCGACTTTACTGGGCTATAGGTCCAGGCACCAGTGGCTACTGTTTTCATGCAGGAACCACAGTGCCAGATGCCCGCAGCTCATCTTTTCATCTTGGTTTTGCCACAGAAGGAGCAAGTGTACTTGGCGTCCTGGCTTATTTCAATTTTCTTCACCATATTCCTGATGGGCCCCTTATTTACCAGCAATTTCAGCCTTCTTGGTGCATTTTGTTTGCCATGTCACTGCAAACTAGGTTATTTCCCAGAGCAGAATATGATCCGCCCTTTCATATGTATCATAAATGAAGTAGTATTTGGCTTACTACTTATTATAACTTTATTAGCAACTATAGAATTTTCCAGGTCGATTGAATGGCTGGTCTAGACTAGATCTTTAAACGAAAGAAACCAGTTTGTCCATTTAGATCTAATACAGTGTAGTCTTCCTGTATTTGTTGAAGTGATTTACTTTTGCAGGAGGCAAAATTTTATCCCTCCCTTTTTAGAGTTTTCAGCGGGGCCTGAAAATTAAATCGATGCTAGACAGATTAACAGCAGAAATTTATTTCACATAAGTTTTCTCTGACACGGGAGCCCTCATAAGAAAATGAACACCCAAAGAAGTGGCAAAACCTAAGTGCTTTTATACCAGGTTGAACAAGGAGAAGGAATTGTGGAAAAACAACTAATATGGGGAAGCTAAAGGAAAATAAGCGTTATTTTATAAAGTCTGTAGAGACGTCTCTCCGCTTTGACTCCCATCCCTGGTGATAAGAATGTTTCTTTCCTCCTAGAAAAGAGAGGATATCTCTCACATGAGAGTATTCTCATCTGCTTTCAGGGAGAAAAAGAGATTAGAGCACCCTTCTTAAACCTGCTCTTTTTCAAGTGCCTTTACTTCAAAATAATCCTTATGCCAAAGTGGCATTTTTTGAGGAACTGATCTCTTCTGCCACCTTTCACTTTTTAGAATCAGTATTTCTATATAAAATAATCTGAATGGATAACACTCCTTTGGGCCCAACAGATCAGGAACCTTCTATTCAGAAGTTCCTCTAAGTATTATTTACCTAGAGCATAAAATGCTTGGTTGGAAGACATTATAAATTATATAAAGCATACTTAGATTCACTTTTTATTGTTTTGATTCCCATCCTAAATTAGAACATGGATCCTACTTCCCTTGTTCCATCTTCTACATTGACAGCCCCTGTACCTCATGGCCTCTTGCCTGCTTTCTTAACTCTCCTATAACCCACATAAACAAGAATCTGGAATATTATCTCAGATGCTTTCTTGACCTTCAATGTATCTATTAGTCAAGAATTATTAATATTCGGGTTTCTTCTAAATATGAAGAAGCAATGCTCTGAGGAATTAGATTTGTAATCTCCATCTTAAACACCGACTATTACAGTGACTTTCCAATTAACTCATTTAAAGGGATTTTTAAAAATCTTCGTTATATCTGACTTTGTACAATCTTGCCATTATCAGCCTTATGCAGACTCAACTGCTGTGCTGAATTACAAGTGAAGTCTACTGTCCCATCTTACATCTTTAAATCTTCCTCAGTTCGTGAGTCCGGAGACATCTTTGGGCGCCCCAGTCTGGACTTTGCATCCACAATTGCCCAGGCAGGATGGGCAGCGTTAACAGCATATTTCTGTTACTGCACGTGGGAATTCTCCTGATAATGATATGCTTTTTGCCTTTCCTTTTTTTTAATTAATATGTTACCTTTCTCAGTTGCCTCAGTTGTCCCACATAGGCTGAAAAGTGCCCACGTTAGCTGTAGAGAGAGGGGGACATCGATAAAAACCGCTAAAACTTGACCTTTTTTCCCAACCATTTTCCTAATCATTCTATTGTTTGAATTGAAGATCTTGAAGGCTTTTGGAGATCCCATAGTCTAAATACAGAGAAGTGTCGTAACTTGACCAAGAGAACACAGATAATCAACGGCACTGTACAGAGACACGTCTCATGACTCTGAGATATGAAAACAAGCTTTTAATAGTGCAGCGGATTTTGGGTTCACTGGTGTCAAAACAGTCTAAAGATTGTTGTCGAACAGTTCAACAGACTCTTGTCTAAATTTGCAAATGTTCCGGTCATTCTTACAGTAGCTCATATGACTCCTACTTTATACCCATTGTAGTAATTACCATCTCTTTATGTTATCAATCCAGAATTTCCAGTTATACTCTTTTTTTTTAAAGATTTTATCTATTCATTTGAGAGAGAGTGAAAGTGAGAGAGGTCACAGAGGGAGAAACAGACTTGCTGCTGAGCGGAGAGCCCGACATGGGGCTCAGTCCCAGGACCCTGAGATCATGACCTGAGCTGAAGGCAGACGCTTAACCCACTGAGCTACCCAGGCGCCCCCAGTTACACTCTTCTTAATTAACACAGAACTTCCAGCGTAGATACTTTTT